CCATATATCAAACACTGTCAATTGTTAAAGCCTACGCGTTGATGAGCCACATGAGGATAAATGTTCATTTCCGAACGACGGGGCCGAATTTGAATACCAGGGTGAACCTGGATGTGCCCCATAACACAACAGAGGACGAAGGCCACGATGGTATTATTAACGACCGCTCTTCACTAGGTTATGGTGTGAAGATTGAGAGCCCGAGTCCTAGCGCTAGTCCGGGCCGGTATGATGCAGCGGTCGACCGTTCTTCAATCTCATCAGAGAGATACGCATCCGGGACAGAGCGATCGGGAACATCTGCCTCTGATCGTGATTCAAATTTATCTCCACTGCCTTCTAAAAGCTTGAACGTGCCACTAAAAGATCAGAAAGATCTAGTCCAGGCTGTCCAGGATGGCTACCATTCCAAAAAATCGACGGCAAGAACCGCCGCTCGGCTTCCAGAGCTGGCACGAGGAGACAAGAATCCAACGCGTCACCATCTTCTACCTGAGGTATGGGAACGACATAAAGAAGAGATCCACGAACTATACATTGAACAGAACAAGTCTCTAAATGAGCTGATGGAGTTTATGGAAGAGAAAGGCATTGAGGCCACGTTAGTACTCGCGACAGGGTACGGCTCACTATAAGGCCGTATACTAATTTCGTAATAGACCCCGTATGTACAAAGCGAAATTTAGGCAGTGGGGGTTTGTTAAAAACAATAAGCAAAAGGATGTGGCCATGATGTTACGGTTACAACGCGAGCGAGGTGCTGTTGGAAAGATCACGACTTTCCGTCGCCATGGGAGGTCAGTTGACATCGAAACCTATATGAAGCGAAAGGGTGTTTCGAGTTTCGACCTTGTTACGCCTGTGGTCAATGCCAACTTGCCAGATTACCTACGAGTGCTTACGCCTCCACCGGCTGAGCCTCAGCACATGACTCTCCCTTCGCACCTTCACGCACAGGAAGTTATCGTTTCATGTTTCAAGGACCTCGCTCTGAGTTGGCATGATTCAATGGCGGCGCCAGCATCTTTTGAGAACGATTTCAATATGTACTTCGATGGTGAATTATGCGAGGCTACAAGGGACTTCAGCCGGGCTTGCTGGTTCTTCTCAAGAAACCATATCTCCCATGGTGCTTTACTTAGCCAGCGCGCCTTCTCGTCATTACATCTCATATTCAGAACACCATCTGCCCTTGGTCTATTTGACCTACTAATAGCTAGTGTCATATCCCCGGACTATGGACTTGCCAAAGAACTATGGAGGTATCTCGCGGGCTATGCAGAAGCGATCTTGGGGTCGTCAAGTACTCTATGCCGAGTATTTACGGCTCTAGACGAGGTGTTTCGCAATAACACATTGGGAATCGGAGTGGACTTCATCTTTAGCTGCATGGAGAGTATAATCGGCATGTTGCTCGAGACGAGCGATTTTGCACAGACCGTGGCACCTTCAATTAGCTTTTTCTTGTTGGGAGACTTGATTCTTTTTAACTCAACGAGAACTAACTTGCCGTCACTTCAGAGGGCGGTGGCGTCTGCGTCCATGTCTTCTCAAGGGGGGCAGCCCTCGCCCGGTGTAATGAGATTTATCGAGCCGGCAGCGTATCTCTGGCAAAATGGACCCTACGATGAATATTCGGCTCAGCTGGCCTACTCCTCTGTTCGGATTATAGATAAAGTGCCTAATCGGTACGACTGGGATTGGGTATCGTGGCGCGTCATCGCCCAATTCCATCGAAGCCGGTGCGACTCAAACGGCTCCGCGGTGAAGGATCATCCCCGGCATGCGCTAGCCCGATACGCTCTAGAAAGGGCTATCGACGCCGCTGAGGTCGGGCGCGGTTTTAGTGAATCACAGATCTTTGAGAACATGCTGACCCTAGAGGCCTGGCATCGCGAGGCTGGGGATATGGCACAAGAGTTGGCGATACGGCAACGGAGAGAGAAGGGCTTGCATGATTATTTTCAAGCACTACAACACGATCGTGAAACGGATATACTTGAAACCTAAGGTTTGTAATGAAAAAACCCAGTCATTTCTGACATGTTAGGCCCTTACGAGAGGCAATTTTCTTAATCGGCGTGGATGAGAACTCTATAGCTAAGCCAAAGACGCGAGACACGGCACCTCAGTTCTACTTAAAGATAGAACGAACGATAGGCGTGCACTTTAATAATTTGAGCTACCGGACTTACTCTATAAGCTCGGAAGTGCGCGGCATCTTTCATAGGCAGCGAATCAAGCTATTATATTCTATGTAGTAGTTATCGTCGTTACCACAATCTAGGGATGTGAGAAATTACGTGCCATCGCGAGGCTTCCCAGTCTACCGTCATCAGCATGGGTCCAATTAGCAACGCCGGAGCAAACAACAATGCGAAAACAGCCCAGGCCCCCCCGGCGTTCATCTACCAGCAATACCATGCATGCAATCGTGACCAGGCAATAAAATAAAGAAAAAGAAAACGGCCATACAACCCCTATATAGCGCCGACCTTCTCGTCCCACCAAGTCTTCCAATCGATGTACTTGCGGCCGGTCCTCGCCTCCTCGGCCGCGAACACCATCGCGTGGCTGCGGATGATCTCCTCGAGGCTGCAGCCGATGAACTCGCGCTGGGCGCGCGGCGCCGCCCACCCGTGGTTCTTGACGCGGTCGACGGCCAGCACGAACTGGCGCGTGATGCCGTGGTCGCCGCCGCCGTGCCCCAGGCTCTCGAGCTTGGGCCGGTACGACGTCTGCGCGCCGGTCCGGAAGTCCTCCACCGTGATCGTGCGCGAGTCCGCGTAGACCTCGCCCGTGGTCCCGTATATGTACGTGAAGCGGTGGCACTGCCGCTTCGTCTGCGCGACCATGTGGAAGGTCGCCTGCTTGGCGCCGCGGCTGCCCACGGAGTCCGCGTACGTGTTTTGCGCGGAGGGCAGCGGGTCCTCGTCCCACTTTATCGTCACCGTCTGCTCGTCGCACACGTCGTTGTCGGACTCGAACACGCACCGCCCGAACCAGTTCCGCGAGTCGATCTCCGCCTGCGGCGTCGACGCGTCGTAGTCCTCGGCGAGGGTCTGTAGTAATTTTGGCCGCGCGGCCTCAACGTCGCCCCCGAAGCTCTCGATGTCCGGCAGCACGACGCTCATCGGCCACCGAATGTTGCCCGTCTCGAGCCCCTGGTGCCGCGTGCTCTCGTACACGCGCTTGCTCGAGTACATGCACTCGGGCTCGGCCGCGCAGCTCAGGCAGTTGGTGGCGGAGCCCGCGGCCTTGGGCTTGCGGCTGCGCTTGTAGAACTGCAGGGACCCGGACGACGACACCTCGGACGGGATGTGCGGGGGCTCGTCAGACTCGGGGTGCGTCGGCGAGCACAGCAGCCACAGGAGGATGTCGATGTCGTGGCAGCTCTTGGTCAGCAGCGAGGGCGCGGTGGTCGACTCCTTGCGCCAGTTGCCGCGCACGTACGAGTGCGCGAAGTGCCAGAAGCCGACGGGCTCCGTGTGCACGACGCTCAGGATCTCGCCGATCGCGCGGTCCTCGAGCAGCAGCTTGCGCAGCACCATGTTGTGCGGCGAGTACCGCAGCACGTGGCCCACCGAGAACACTTTGGTCGGCTGCAGGGGGGCCACCGCCCGGTAGATGCCCACGCAGTCGTCGAGCGTCGTGGCCAGCGGCTTCTCGCACATGATGTGCAGGTCGAGCGGCGCGAGCGCGACCACGACGGCGTGGTGCATCTCGTCGCGCACGCACACGAAGGCGGCGTCGACGCCCTCGGGCACGCGCTCCCCGGCGGCCTCGCGGCGCCGCCGCCGCACCTCCCACTCGACGAACTCGCGCCAGCCGGCGAAGCTCGAGCCCTCGGGCGCCGGACTTTTGGCGTCGGACCAGATGAAGGTGCGCACGTAGTCCTCGCGCTTGTACACGTCGGGCTCGCAGACGGTGGCGATGACGCCGTTGCTGGACTGCAGGGTGCACCGCCCGTAGACGCGCCCCCGCGAGCCGGCGCCGATGATGAGGATCCGGGGCGGCTTCGCCGATAGCGGGGGTGGCGTTGGGGGCCTGACTTCCGTCCCTGCGGGCTCGTTTTCGAGGTCCGCCGGGCCTTCGTCTTGGATGTTGTGGGGGGCCATGATGATGTGGTTTTATGAGGTCTATATATATAGGATGGGTACAGGCAAGTAATAGGGCACTTCCTTAGTTAGACCTAGCGATGAAGCCTTCAATTTAAGTAAAGACCTTATTAGGTATCTTACTCGAGACCCCAACTAACAGTACTTCTAAAGATATAGGTGCTCCAACAAGGTGTGGGATCTCACTAGAGGCGCCTCGCATACGTTGGTATGTTGGTGACGAAAACAAAATTATCTCAACTAACGAGCATTTAGGATGGATGGATGTTTGCAGGATTTCATATACTTGATGTATCTAGCTAAGATTAGCTACAGATAATGAGATATGAGACAGAAGGGAAAGTCAACGAGGTGTCGAAGCATGGAAACCCAAGGTTAAGGTTGGTATCGGCCTATCAGGCGATAGCCGATTTGTTACCGAGACGCTCTTAGTGGCTGCCCTATCGTAAATGGGGCGGCGGCATAAAGAAACAACCTTGGAAAGAGCATGTCATTTAGCGGATTCGACCTGCCATGATATCATGTGTAGACAGATGAATGAGAATGTTTCCTGCATAAAATATACAAAAGAAGATCTTGATGCGACATCAAGGATATGGTAGAATATGGATAATCGTTGAAGTTGGTCTCATATCTCGGGAATGCATTGTGACGTTAGCAGGTTAGGTGCTGCATGTCTTCAAGACAACAGAATTTACAGATGACCGTATTCTCTACTGACACTAGAATGAATTGAAAAGAAGTTACTAAACAATGAAGAAGCAAATCTAAGCATCACAAGTTATTTCATTCAACCCCTATGGGTTGGTAGAGCTGTCGCTTAAATCATGCGCTAAATTATTTAGCACCTATATAAACACTTATTCTTCTACTTATCGACAAGGGCGTGTAACTCAGTGGTAGAGTGCTCGCTTTGCACTAACAGTGTGGCTTGCGAGAAGCCCAGGGTTCGACTCCCTGCTCGTCCATCTTTTTGCTTTTCACCCTCAATATTTTATCCCTTTTATCGTTTCTCCTTTCTCTCCTTTTCATTATATACCTCTGCCTATGTTTTTAGCTTCAATTGTCCGGTTTTGTTTTTTACCCATGCCTCTGTGTTAAGTATCAATGTCAGCCGCGGGGGAGATTTCCTCCGCTTAACATTTGATAGGTGCCATATGCAAGAAAAATTGCACGCTGAAACACCGTTCAGCTCATTCCAATATGACATATTATCTATCAAGTAACACATAGTGGCATGCCTAGTAGTTTACAACAGAGGAAGCAATGGGAGTTGTTCACATCAGTATTGTCATATGCAACTTCATGTGACGAAACACGATCACCACCCCAGCGATGGTTCTTTGTTTCTAACATCTACAACTAGGATCCTCCATGATAGTCAAGCTCACTACTCTTGCGGCGTTCCAGGCTACCTATATATATAACAGACAAATATACCTACACAAAAAACTATTCATCAAGTTACCAAATTGAAGAAAATCAGAAAACATTAGCAATGAAACAGATTTCCGCCTGTAGTGTCCCTAAAAAGACTTATACCCGTCGTGTCCCCAAGGGGATTTACGTACGTGGTATCCCTGAAATCAATGAGCGCCCCTGGGGGTGTTATATTGAGCTCAACGGCTTGGGACTACCGGCTGAGTCATGCATCCATCATATCTTCCCAGGATGTGACTGCACCATCTTCCAAGACGGCATATTTTTCGAGCACCTGAGAGACTGGTTCCATACAAAAGTATCTATCCTACAGATCCATCCCAAGTGTGTGGCTGAAATCGTCCTTCAGCTAGTTGAGAAATGGGATCTCAATATGATAGGTCAGCAAGAGTGCGGACAAGGGTGGAAGGACGAACTTGAATACTATGCAAACTTTCCAATCAAGTCACCGCTTGGGATCAAAGCTACGAAGAAGCCACGTGGCATTGTTAAGAAAGAGTTGAGAGTGAAATGTTTATGGCCCCGCCAAAAATGGTTCTATCGTCCTCCGTATAGACAAGTTTCAAAAATTGGCAAAAGTTCCTTGCTTATGAGCTCATTATATTTATACCTATATCAATAAGGGGGGCTTTTCGGCGCCGGTTCGCATGATGATTTTATCTCTGCATAGCAAAGAATCCGATGGATGTTGGATTTGGCTAGCTTTCAAAATATATGCAAAGGTAGTTTCAGTTCTGGCGGGGAAGGTATAGAGTATCACAAATAGGGGCAATATACTATGATTAGGAGTTCGTATCAAAATCTCTCGTAGCAATGAATAATAGAATACAAACTAACATAACTAAAATCACAAACAATCTCATTCCGTGACTATTATCTCAACGAGATAGTTATCTTCACCGATTTTGATATCTCCTCCCTCCTCAATATCCCCTCGCCGTCCTCAGCTAACCTGTCTCTCCATCCCTCATTCCGCCCATAACTACCTCCGCTCAGGGGGGAAACGGTGTAGGCTGTTGATTATCACACTTAGGAACAGGCACACACGTGTGATCGCTCCAATCGCACCCAGAAGCCTGACAGCCCCCATCGCACGTGTACAAGCTCGGGTGGCCGTCGTCGCACTTGAGGAAGTAATCGGGGTACTCGCAGGAGATCCACGTGCCGCCCTCGGAGACGCACTCGTCGCGCACGTACCGACCGGACAGGCGTCCCGCCGCGAAGCCGTAGACGGCGGCGGTGATGAAGATCGTGGCGGTGAACTTCATGGTTGACAAGGTAGATAGATAGGTTAGGTATAGACTCTATGATTGGGGGTTTCTAGGCTCGGTGTATTGGTATGGGACGATGAGCTGGCGTACAAGGAAGGACTGTGGTGTTTTGGTTGCGAGTAGAAGACTAGCTTGACAACCTTCGTGGTTGAGTGAGGAAAGAGGCAAAAAAAACCCATGAATTGCCTTCGTATTTAACTACCATGAAGAGAAGTTTCTTGTTAAAAGGAGTCCTCGTCAGGGGGGTGTCTTAAATTGACTACCTACTATATTACATACAAGTGTTCTATTCACCCAAGCATCCCAGTGCCACTGGACAGTCCTAATCGTTCTTTCACCGTCTATTGGTATCCAACACATCTGAGTAGGTAGTTTAAGGCGATTTCAGATATAGTCAAGATGATTTAATCTGAGTAGCAAACAAGAAGTGATATTACATACATACGCCATTCAACCACGCAAGGAGTGCCTTAGCTAAACTTGAGACGTTGTGTTTAATCGCGGGTTGGTTTTAAATATATCGCAAGTAAGGGAATAAAGAATTAAAGTCGGGCCTTGCGTAAGGTAACACTCGGAACTAGGTGTTTCTCTCATAATTCATCTTCTTTCCTAACACCGAAAGGATTGGTCCACGCAATACTTTAGAATAGCTTCACGAGGACTCAACCTTTGTGTATTGTCGACAAATCAGTATTCACTCGTCAATACCAACTAACATTAACGAGCGATTCGCTTTATTACGCTATGAATGTTTCCTAACTAATTACTACTCACTCACACGATAGCCAACCCAAAGCGCCACCAGGCGCCTCCCCATATCCCCACGCCTGATTTCTTCGACCAGATGACTCATCTCAGACATCTGCAAATATATGTTGAATGCCGTCCCTATACAAGGTTACTCTGAAAACTGCTGTATGAAGACGTTGGAAAGTATTTACTGGCCGAGTAACTCGCGAGCCAGCTGAGTTGTTTCATCTTCGCTCAGCTCCTGACTCTTGACTTTCTCAGCCTTAGCCGCATCAAAACGCCATAGACCTCCCGTCTTGTCTGCGTCACCGTTCGCACTTAATCCGACATTCGTGGCCAATGACTCAAGCGTCGCATCCGGCCCAGTGGCAGAGGTGAAATATCTCCGCTCCCACTCACGGCCCTCAGTTTGCTCCTTCTTCCGCATCGCACGCTGCGCCTGTTCGATCTTGGCCTTCTCTCTACCAACGTAATCCATATCGCCCTTTGTGATACCAGCCGCGACATTGGCCCATGCGCGCCGAGCCTCGAGGGGATGTTGCTTCTCAGGAGGGGCAACTATAAGCTCGGATATGGGGTTGTTGGTAGGATCCCAACTCTCAAGGAGGGTTTTTGAAGAATTAGTCTTCACTGGCCCGGAATGAATCTCGAATGCCTTCGTCCACTGACCGGAGCAATTGTAGACTACTTCCTTTTCCTTGCCGCTCGGGTATAAAGTTGCCGTAAATGAGTTTTTCTTGCCGCTTATCCAACCCTTTCCACTGTAGTCGATCTTGGCGGTGTATCCTGTTGATGAACTGATGTATGATGCGCCATCAAGCTCGATGAAGGGCGCGCCGAATATCAGCCCCTCGACGTGAAGTGACGGTAGCGTGATCAAGAAGGTATCTTTCTCTCCAGGTTTAGAAGGATCAGGAACCGTAAGCACCGCATGTCCTATCTGCTTGATGTTAATGGTCTTGGAGAAGCTAGCCTTCTGAGCATTGTATCCTTGGAGATGGACTTTGGAGGAATTGTTGATGATGCTGTAGGCAGTAGCTGGCGGGTGATGGCTAAGTTATTAGTCAGCAAAGATGTTCGGAGATAAGAACAAATCTAGTTTCGCTAGACGTACTTTACCTGCTCGCTGACCAATTCAGTTGTACCAGCACTATCTTCCCATTTCCCCAAAAATAGCTCGCCTAAGAAGGGGTTGAGTGGCTTCTTCTCATTGCCATATTGCTCGCTCCGGCTTGCATATTGCTGCTTGAGAGTAGTCAAGAACCATTTCAGCACTAGCAAGGCCCTCTTCGCGGGATCAGGTTCGTTTGCGGGCGCCGCGAAGACGCTGGGGTGCTCGGCCCAGTATGAACTGAACTCGGTGAGACTCGTAGAAGAGAGGATAAAGGGCGGAGCCGTCAGGGAGGAGAGGTCGCCATTGAAAGAGGCGATAGACTGATCCAAAGAATGCGTTGTCAGCGGGGGGCAAGATAGAAGTTATGAGATGATTGTTAAATTTGAACTGACTTTGAGGAATGCGGTCCAACTAGAACCAGTGGCCTGAGAATTTGGTGTAGCTTCCGACATGACGATGACGTTTCCAACTAATAGCCTAATGGTTCACGGACGCCGCGGGGCTCGGATGATACCAAAGTACCCTGTGTGGTCGGCCAGACCCCCAACTTCAAGTCCGAAAGATGGTTTCAAGTTTCGTGAAAGTGGACAAGGCACAGGACCGACAAGATTATTTATTATTATCTTGGCGGGGAAGTTCCACAGGGGATCTAGATCTAGGAATACGAGTTGTTTTATTTGATAGATCGACAAACTGTTCCAAGGTTGGGTCGCGTGTAGGGCAGGACGGGTAAACAAAGCTTCTTGTGCTTCTTGTTTTCGGAAGAAACGGAAAAGCGTGGTATCGTAAAAGTGAAACAAATTTGTATCCTTTCAGCTGAAGCGGTAGGTCGGCGGTTGTGGGACTAAATGAGTAATAGACAATGTTAAGGTTTTGGTAGAACAAGAAGGCGGCTGCACCACTTTTGAATTTGACGTCAAAAATTAAACTTCCCCACACGTCATCGGCCCCGTACTGCCAGACCCTTGGTAGCCCTGCTCGGGTTGCTTGGCTTTCTTGGCTACTGATTAGCGCGATCTGAATCGGCCTAAAATTGCGTGCCCAACCTTGGAATCTAAGGTTTAGGCTACGGCACTACCTGCCTATATCGGATTGAGGCTCGAGATGGCTTACAAGATGTGTATTAAGTTTGCTAGATAGGGGCTCTGTAAGTAAGTAAGCATGTAAGCAAGTATAGTAGGGTAGTACCTAGGTATCGGGATATGTATCATATGAATGGTTCATGTTAATCTTGCAGCGTCACGTTGCATTTCCAACACGCGTTTATCAGAAATTGCTTCAACTATCCACCGAAGCTGTACGCGTGAAATAGGAGACACGCATTAAGCAGTGCTACAACCAGGAGTACGACCCGCGAAATTATATGGTTAACGCCAAGGAGTAGAAAGACAGC